TGGACATATATGCTGATAATATATTGTTGCCATGTAATTCTACTCAGTTACAAAAAAACATTGTCTAGATAAAAAAATGTCCACCCATTAAAACCCCATTGGAGATGCCCTTTTGTTGTTATCTTGTCTACTACTCCCACTGCAGTTAAAGTAGCAAAGATTGCTCCTTGGATCCAGCACAGCTGAGTCAAACCAGCTTCTCTTGAATGGGAGTGCATCCCTGATCCAGCTTCACCATGTAGGATCACCCTCCAGAACCTGAGTATCCTCCACCCGCAGGACTCCACTTCCCAGGAGGAAACAACAGGGGACAAAGAATGGCAGGACAAGAGCCCTGCTCTAGTCACACTTTGGAAGCTGACTAGTCTACGCACAGCAGAAGCTTGAGGAATCGACTCTCCAACGGGACAACCAGACTGTTTTTACACCAGTTATCTCACTGTGATGCACTGTCACCCCTTGTATCTGTTGCTGTAATTCTCACCATAATCTTTGCCATAGGTCTGGCAGAAACCACCCTCGCTGATTGGACTCACGGTGAAAAGTTTTTTTATTTGCTCTCTTGTATCTCTTTTGGGAAAGATGCATAATTACTGTTTATTGTTACTGATGTGGTTTCCCTTTATGGCCTCAGAGCCCTCCTCCTGTGACCTATTTATGCATACTACTTGGGCAGGAAATGTTGTCACTAAGACTGTGCTATTTCATACTTACTATTCTTGTGCAGGCACTGTCATCAGGTCATGCATTCACAACTATACCATCTATTCAGTGCGTTCCCATGGTAATCAGCATATCTGCTTCAACCCCACTTAATGCCTCTGGGAGCAATGGTTAGAGATCAGGAACTTTCGAAATCCTGGGAACCTTATTAGCCACACCCAGGTGTTTAGTCCAGATAAACCAGTGTCAGCGTTCTTTGATGCATGTGCAGCCATAGACAAGGTGGATGTGGAGGTATAGGCTGTGGCTATGGGGGCCTAACTTGGGAAAGAGCCTATATGTCTAATGATAAGAATATGTGCTGGGGAGACAACTCTTGGCCTGTGATGGTGTAGGTTCTTATTATTGTGCTTCATGGGCCACATGGCAGAGTGCTAAGCATGCAGCTTCCTTCACAAAGGGAAAGCTGCCCCTGACTGCACCCGTGGCACCTGTAGCCCTGTCAATTTCACTGTACTTAATCCATCAGATGGGACACAGGGACATATAATTGGCATAAGGATAGATGGAAAAGGCCTTGACCTTGGAAGTCCGATGCACCTCAAATTAGTAACTGTTACCCATGAGCATTCCTCCTACTAGGTTTTTCACTCCTTTTATGAGGAAATGAGGAATGAATTTTCCATTTCTGCCAAAGCTAAAAACTTGTTCCTCTCCCTGGCTGAGTCTATAGCCCAGACACTGAATGTCACTTCATGCTATGTTTGTGGGAAGACCAACATGGGAGACCACTGGCCTTGGGAAGTTAAACCCATGAGAACCTTTTAATGAGGCTGCTTTTCCAAAGCACAGGAAAGGTATCTGGCTCCTAAAAACTTCCATCATCGGAAATTATTGTATCTGCCACACAGAAGGCCAATTCTCCACCTCAGTGGGAAAGTTTTACAATGACACTGCCCAATAGACCCAATGGTGGGGAACTCCAAACCACATAGAACCCCAGCCCCACCCACTGGGCAACTTTTCTAATCTCCAGAGAGCATGGAACAATCTTACTGCAAACATAGATTGGTAGGTGCCCAGGGGACTGTATTGGATCTGTGGGAAGCAAGCTTATACGGTGCTACCTAGCAGCTGGTTTGGATCTTGTATGCTAGGCTCAATCAGACCATCTGTCTTCTTGCTTCCCCTCAGACAAGATGAAATACTGGGAGTCCCCATATATAAAAAAAGATTAAGTAGACAAAAATGGGGTGCCTTACAAATTGGCAATTAAAAAGATGACAAATGGACTCTTGAGTGAATCATCCAGTGCTATGGTCCTGCCACCTGGGCAGAAGACAATCCTAGGGTTATTGCACCCCTATATATATGCTCAACTGCATCATCAGGCTGCAGGCTGTTGTTGAAATTATAACTAATGAAACTGCAAGAGCCCTCAATTTGCTGATGAAACAAAGCATTAAGATGCGCAATGCCATCTATCAGAACCGCTTGGCTTTAGACTATTTGCTTGCTTCTGAGGGAGGAGTTTGTGGAAAATGTAACCTAAGCAACTGCTGCTTACAGATTGATGATGAAAGAAAGGTCATAGAAGAAATCACAGACAAAATGAGAAAGCTTGCCCATGTCCCCGTCTAGACTTGGAGAGGATGGGATCCCAATGACCTGTTTGGAGGATGGTTTTCTGTCTTAGGTGGATTCAAAACTCTGATGGGGCAATAGGCCTGATCCTAGGAGCACGCTTAATATTGCCCTGTCTGGCTCCCCTGATGCTACAGTCTATCAGGACTATTATGGAGGCCATTATAGAAAGAAAAACGGCCACACATGTAATGATGCTAATGAAAATATAAACCCCTAGATCAAGATGATGCTCTTTGACCCTGAGTGGGTCTGAGCATCAAAGGGGGAATAATGTAGAAGAAAGGGGAGGCCAGAAAAGAAACAGACGGGCTGTGTCCTGATGACAAGATGGAGAGGGGATTGCAAAGCAGAGAGATAAAACTTAAAGAATTGAAACATGAAGGTCACATAGCACAGGGGAAATGAAATAGCCAAAGAAGTCACATGCAATCATATGTGGGTTGAGCTTTGCTTTTTGCCTCTGTAACCTGCTTGCAAGGGTATAGAAGATGAGACCCCTTTGTTCTCAGGGCTCAGCCTTTGGACACGAGTCCACTGGGTCTGTGCTGGCACGATAAACATTGCTTCCTGCTAATCTGCCTCAGCGACTCCTATCTCAGCTCATAATTTCCTACAGCAATGTTGTTCAAATTAGGTGTCCCAACCCCAGTGGCACTCAACAGTGGACAAGTCTTAAAGGTCACAGGATAAATATTATCTTGTTAGAGTGTCAATTTTACTCAATAAGTAATTTTAAATACTTTTGTCTATCAGAATAAAAGTTATACCAGAAACAAATATGCAAAATTTGCATACATTTTGAGGACATTGCATTTCCTCCAAAAATTTCATCCCCATGGGACTGTGGACCACACCTGTATCAGTTCACCTTTGGAAGGGCTGGAGACTAAGGTCAGCCATGTGGCTATTCACCATGTCTTTATGGACAGGCCCCAGCAAGAACAATGACACTTAGGTGGGCTTCTTGGGTTGGCAATTCCCCATGTATCTAGGAGAAGTTGGCACTGTCCATGGCTGAATGGGCAGAGGACAACTGGAAGCTCTGAATGTGCACCTCCTGCACTCTGCCCCATACACTTAGTCCTCTGACTGATTTTTCCTGTATTCTTTTGCTGTGGTAAATATCACCATGAGCATAACAGCTTCCAGTGAGTTCTGTGAGCTCACCACATTATCAAACCTCAGGGTAGGTCAAGGCACCCCTGAATTTGAAATTGATGTCACAAGTAAAGATGGATTGGGGGACTCCCAAACTTTGTACTTACGGACAATATTTTCTTCTGTCAATAGAGGTACTGGGAAAGAATAATTTGAAAAACACTTATCTAGACTTATTTTCTCATAAACTATTAGAATTCAAAAACGTTGGTTGATCAGCGTTCTGAGGCCAGGCACTGAATTAAGTACTAGGAATGTAAAACATGAACAAACACAGGGTGGTCCTCCCATCAAGAAACTCATAGACCTTGTCCTGCAGAACTTAGGCAAGAGGCGTGAACAAGATGGATATTTCCTCGAGGGAGGAAAGGAAGTTATAAATGAGTGGATCACCTGAACCAGCAGGCATCCTTAAGTGGGGTCCAAACATTCACACAGGCACTAACTTCATTTGGGTAGCATTCCTTTTTAGTTCACCGGAATCAGAAGTATTTAGCTTCCTCCATGACTAGGTATATGATTATGTCATTGACTAAGATAGGGAACACAAATGCAGAGATGAGTTACATGGAAAGACAAGTTTCTGTTCCTTTAAGCAGAACAGCAAGGCCCAACTAGATGTCCCTATGGAAAGTTTAAAAGCCAGTGGATATTGGGTCTAGAATTTGGGAGTTAAGATGGGAGTCAGAGCCTCAGGTTTGGGAGTCACAGCATAATACCAAGGAAAGGATGGACTGACACTCAACTTTGTTACACCTTCCACAAAATGTTAGTACTGCTGAAAGTAGTGTAATGTATTGGGAGACACCAACATCTAAGAGCAAAGCAGGCATGAAAAAGACTGATAATGACAAACCAGAGAGGTTGGAGAAGCCAGAGAGAGGTGAGATTCAAGAGAACTTTCACTGGAGAGAAACTGTTCAGAGTGCACTTGAAGGAGGTCAAGCAAGAAAGGATTCGGTTTTGTACTTGGGTGTGGAGGGTCCACCTTCCATGACAACGGTGGGAGGTGCACAGAAACTAATTTTTATTTTGAAGACGAAATGCATTGGAACTAGGAAGAAATCCGATCTCCCTGGGCAGGGACACTATCTCTGGAGAGACAGTGGAAAGACCAAAAAAAAAAAAAAAAAAAAAAATTAAGGTTTTTTGTTTTGTTTTGTTTTCTTACAGTGCTGGGGATGGAACCAGGGCCTTGTGTATGCAAAGCAATACCACGGAGCTACATATCCAGCCCACTTCTCTGCCTTTAATAAGTCCTTATTGAATGCTGAAAGTTTGGCTGGGGCCACTGGCTCAGGACCTCCTCTCTTCCACGGTTCCTCAGGAAATCGCAAAAGATGCCTGTGCTTGGCAATTGTGTAGCCTTCAGTCTCCATCCTCCAGCCGCGGAGTAAGGAGCTCAGCGCAGCCGCCAGGGGGCGCAGACCGCGGCGAGCCAATTGTCAGACTTGGGGCGGGGCCATCGGCAGGGCGGGGCCGAGCGGTGGGCGGAGTCTGCAGCGACTTCCGGCTTCCGGCACAGTAGCTTGGGTCGTCGCGCGCAGCCGTCATGGCAGCGGAGGAGAAAGACCCCCTGAGTTATTTCGCGGCTTACGGGAGCAGCAGCTCAGACTCTTCGGGCGAAGAGGATAACAGCGATCCGGAGGAGACGAGTCGCAAGGGCCCGGATCCAGCCAAGTCAGCCAGCGGCTGTGGGAACAAGGCGGAGAAGCGGCTGCCGGGACCCGACGAGCTGTTCCGGAGCGTGGCTCGCCCAGCCTTCCTGTACAATCCGCTCAACAAGCAGATCGACTGGGAGAGGCACGTCGTCAAGGCGCCCGAGGAGGTGAGGTCCCCGACCCCGTTTCCCTGCCTCGACCCGGGCCTCCGCCCCCCTCCTGCAGATCCCGCCCCCCACACGCAGTCTCCCCCGCGGGACGCAGCCCTGGGGGGCCCGGGCCCCTCCCCGTCCCGGTGGGTGTAGCCCCGCCCCTTGCGTGGCGCCCCCCCAAAAAACCTCCGCGCTCGGTGCCCCGCCGGGGCGGGGCGAGGACTAACGGTGGTGACTCCCCCGCCCCCGCTGCAGCTTCTCCCCGAGACCCCTTCCCTTTGACGCCCGCCGAAGTACCTGCGGTGCTGCCTCCAAGACAGTGTCTGCTGCAGCCTCCTGGAGGGGTCAGCCCTGGCGTAGTATCTGAGACTGGATCCTTCTTTGGTAACTAAAAGTTATGAGCTTTATTCATTCAGGGAACCCTTTGGCTTTTCACTGAACAGTGTTGTGATTTGGATAGAAAGATGTATCTGTTAGACCTTTAAGACAAAAAGTCAGCCAGCTCGATAAACGAGCGGCAGGGAGGTGCGTGTGCTCATGTGGATCCTAGGAACCTCGGTTCGTCACAGGGCTTCTTAATGTGCTTACTTAACAGCCTCCAAAGGAGTTCAAAATATGGAAGTCAAACTATGTACCACCTCCGGAGACCTACGTCACTGAGAAGAAACCTCCGCCTCCAGAGCTGGACATGGCAATAAAATGGTCGAATATATATGAGGACAATGGTGAGGATGCCCCCCAGAATGCTAAGAAAGCCAGGCTCCTACCAGAAGGAGAGGAGACGCTGGGATCGGGTAAGTGGTGGGGAGATTCGGTTCTGCTTGTGTTGTCTTTTGATCCTGGTGAAGGCCTTAAAAAGAATAGGATACATCAGGAAAGAAATTTAAATCTAGTGAATTGGCAGACATGACTAATGGTCTTTGTGTACTGTCCTGTTTTTGAGAAAGCTCACAATCCGCTTTATAGTTTAATTCAAGGTGCTTATTATTAGAACAACAGGAATTCTTGTGATTGCAGCTGAAGTGCTGAAGGATTCGTTTTATATTAAAAGCAGTTGTTGTGCTCTAGTGCAAAAATTAATGGGACAAAATGAATTTAACTGAGCATTACTACATACTAACAAGAAGGTAATATTTTAGTTGTCTTGCCTGTCGTCAAAATACCATAATTTCATCTCTTTCCTGGATTCTACCACAACAGTCTCTGCCTACACATACTCACTGCCCCCCAGTTCCGTCCTTCATGATGCAGCTAGTGTTGAGTATCTACAAGTCGTATCTGATTATATAATTTGCCTGCCTAAAAATCCTTCACTAACAGAATAGTCAAGAGTTTTCCCTGAAGGGCCCTGCCTCTCTGGCCACCATCACTTTCAAGGGCCCCCTTTCTAGCATTTTAATGTCTTTCAGAACTGAATAAAGGATGCTGTTGTATGGTTTACTTCCTTTTGATGTATATTGCTCCTTAGTCTGAAATATTCTTTCCATTCTCTTTGGCTGGTAAATTCATCCTTCAAAATCCAACTCAAAGGAAAGGAAAAATCTGAAGTATAATCTCTAATTAGTAATTTTTTCCTCTTTACCTTGTATGTGCTAATGCTGCTTGTTGTTTCATAAGTCTGTCTCTTATGCAAATGAGTTCATCAAGCAACAGGATCCTGGCCTTCTGTATGTTGTAACATAGTTGCTAGTACATTGTAAGTATTCAGTAGATAACTTGAATTTATCATTTTTAGAAAGCACGTGCCTTTTTTGTTAAGCAGATTTCTGATCTTCTTACAATACAGGGCCTTTTAGCTCCCTTCACAACCTTGTAGAGAGTTATGTTTTGTTTGAAGAAAAAAGGTAGCTAACAGGCAGGAGTTCTTACCCCAGTTTTGATTCTACCTAGCTTTTCCATTTCTTTCACTGATTTCCTGATGTGTAGTAGAACTCACTAGTAGTAGAAAGCACTAATGAACTGTGTCTTTAGTAAATAGCATCTTTGGGGAGATAGCGAATGAAGTGTGAATTTATAATACCTTGTATAATTGTAGTATTTTGTACAATTAATAGATATTTTTTCAAAAATCTTTACAGAGCCTTATGAAACCACATAGGAAATGTGGGAATGAGAGCTATGTGGCTTGTCCAAGGTCACAACTTCCATACAAGTTTCCTAATTTACTACCTTAGCAACCTGATACAGCAGTGGCACATAGTTCATTGTTACTATTTTGCAGATCAGAAGACAATCTCCAATTACAGTATTTGTCTAAATTCACACAACTAAGAACAAGCAGAACGGGGTTTCAAATTTAGAACTTTAAATAGAATTTGTCCCTTATTAAGCTGGGGTTTGGTCTTTTGATGTTTTCTAAGCTGGAGTGTTTGGAAAGTAGCTGTTTTTTGGAGAGTTGATATTTAAACTAGGTTGCCATAACTGGTGCTCTTACGCCTTGGCCTTTCATTGATAAAACCAGAACTATATGCTAAGGCAGATAAGCAAGTTAAGAATCACCATTTTGAATTTACTTTTGAGTTCAGTCAAAAAGAATTCCAAATCAGTGGGAATTCCCATAGATAGTTTCTGTCCTTTCATCAGAATTCATTTGTGGGTAATGCTGGATCACAGGATTAATTCTGAAATCGTCAGTATTTGCTTTGATGGCCATTGAATATCACTCTTCTTTTGTAATAAGTAGCTTCCTTTTTAGAAGTAATTTCTGTCAGTGCTGACTCCTATACCATGTGCACAGAGTCACTGTAAAAATCTGTTTCTCTGACAGATTTTTTTAAATCTGTTTTTTTAATTCATAAAAAATGTATCAGAAATTCTAAACTTTTAAATTATGTTTTAGATTATCAAGTTAACTTTGATTTTATTTTGCCCTTTGACCTTTTTTGCAGATTAACTTCTTTCAGAGACTTTAGAGAAGGAGCTGGGAAAGATTTAACCCATCATTAAGTCTGTCTGCCTATTAGCACTTCTTGTTTAATGACTGTAAAATATGGAAAAGTAAGGCTTAGATAGTTGCTGTTGATTTATTAAATGTAATCAATTATAAAAGCCTAGACAGTGCAGCAAGTGATTTTTACTTTTCTTTTTTTTAATTTAGAAAGTTGATGTTGATGAGTTAAACTCATTTATCTTAGATGATTTGAGTTCCATAGTAGAAAGTTGTTTCCACACTAGTGTTATCTGTACTGTGTGGCATCATGCGATGAGCAAACATTTTCAGTTTATTTTTCTGCACTGGTTTTTAAGGCAGTTCCTTACCATGGCACTAGGTGGCATTAGCTCTTCTCACATCACTGATAGGAAGTTATTTTTTCAGCCTTAGTAGTTTATGGTTTTGTTATCAGTAAACTTACTTATAATAAGTGATAGAATAAAAGCAGAAATGTCCCAAGATAATCTTTTCAATAGTGAGTTTTGTAGTAGATTTAGAAAGTACTTTCAACTTTTACATTATCATTTCTAAAAATACTTTGAAGATAAGCTTGAGGATAATTTAACCCTGGTTAAAAAACACAGGTTGTGGTTCATTTGAGCCACATACCATATCACTTAGTTTGTAGAGCAAGTATTTCTGTGTCTACATGATAAACTACTGGTTAAAACTTTGATTTGTAAATTCCAGGGGATGAGTTGCTGAGTCATATTTTATAAACTGCCTATATAAATCCATAGTGCACTGTGTGAACCATATGTTACCCTGTTGTATTTGAAATAATTCTGAATATTGGTGCAGTCAGCAGAAAGGAAATCTTATTTAAAGATATTTTCTTCAGAAAATTTCATGATTTGATATCAGCAGTTGCTCCACTTTTTTTTAATGTATCTTTCAACATCAGAATATTTTATACATTACTATGGGATACTTGTTGGGCTTAGGGTACTTGTTTATCAAGAAAAAGTCAAAAGCTGCAGTTAGTTTAGTAGTAGGCCCAGAATAAATTTGTATTTTAGAAATCCTAACATTTTCTACATGTTACTTATTTTATTTACATGGAAGTCTTTATACCACACATTTGTTTAAGGGGATACAGATTAGCAACTAGTCTTTGTTATTTTGTGTTTTATTGAGCTGTGTAGTTGGAGTTTTAAAATAGAGCAAAAAGATCAAACTTTTGAGGTTTGAAAATATTTTTATTAATTGGAAATTTTTTGTGGCTTCCCACAACAATAACATTTTAGAAAAGTTTAGAACACTTTTAATGCATGGTTCTCCTCTACTCTTCTTCCTCCCACCCAGATTTTCCACAGTTACGAAGGGAAGAAGATACCTGTTTTTCTGTTGTCCTTAGACTGTTATGAACCTCCTAGGAATAGAAGGGGGCAGGATTGGAACTAACTACAGAAAAGTGTGAAATAGCAATGAAACCTCTTCTTGTGCTTTTTAATCTCAAAATATAGGAATCTCAGTGCACCAAAAATAAGTTTGGGGAGGAGAAATTGATTTTGGAGTAGAGGAAGATTGAAAGGAAAAAGACAGCTGGTAGTACCTTAAATAACGTTATATTTAGATTAATACCTGTTTTTTGAAAAAAACACAAAATGTGTCCTATTCTTACAAAAATGTAGATTTATTTAAATAAATGCAATGTGTGTACTGTAGAAATTTGGGAAGCAGCTTTTTCAGAGCAAATCTGATTTTCATGAAAATAGAATAATTTATTTTAAACTACCTTGAGATAGCCAAATGGATCAATTAATTAATTTTGTATTGCAGCAACTGAAAAAATTGCTTGTTTTCACATGTAGTTTAATATCAGGATTTTAAATTTTTTTGGTTTTTATCAGTAAACAAAGAGTTGGTGAGAGTGATTATTTTGATGTAAAGTTAATGGAACTTTAATGCTTTCCATGTTTATTTTTAATTACTGATTGACACTCTTTCTTTCTTATTTAAAGATGATGAAAAAGATGAGCACACATCTAAAAAGCGCAAAGTTGAACCAGGAGAACCAGCAAAGAAGAAAAAATAGAGAGCAACAAATGGCAAAATTTCCTGGACCCACTAAACTTGTTGAAATGTGTCGTTGAACAAATTAGTTTGATATTGTGGATTATTATGACAAAACATCTCCATGAAAGTATACATCTTAATGAACTAATAAGTATTGCCTCGAGAACTTTCCACTGTAGAATTTTTTATTTAAAATGTGTATGTATTTAAAACTCAAATGGTGACCTGTGATTGTGAAATTGACAGTAACTTGCAAGCATTCTTGCTATCACCAGAAGAAGTGACATGCTTTGAGAATTTTGTCACATACTGCCATGCCACTGTTCTATGAACCTTTTATAAAGGAATAATCATTTTTAAAGTAAATATATTGTAATGTACTGTGAACTTGTTGGGTGCTTTTCAATCAGTGTTTGTACATGTAAATAGATCATGGAAATAAAATTACTTATTCAATATTGCAATTATGCATAACATTAGCATTTGAAATATTTGTGACACATCCCTCCTTGCCATGTGACATTTTAAGGTGTAAGTGGGAAATTCATAGTGTTTATGCCTATATTCTCTCTTCCTCAATAACCTTGTAAGTAGATGTTAATGTCCTCATTTTATAATAAAGAGAGCGTGAGTAACTTGTCCAAGGGCTACATTGGCTAGTGGAGTGATGGATCTGAAATTCAACTCGGACACTGAACTCCAAAATCACATTTAACCACCTGTCCACATCAAATTTAGTCATTTTTTAGGAAATGACATTAATTGCCATTTCATCAGGAACTCTTCATTGCACTTAATGGAGAGCTTTTCCTTCCCTCATTGTGTGACTGTACTTATTATTGTGCCTTGTATTGTGATTATTCACTAATTTTCCTGTTAAATAGTATGCTGAAGATAAGCTCTTCTACAGAGGGTTACCAGAGTTACCAAAGAAAAATACAGGACACCCAGTTAAATTTGACTTTCAAGTAGGCATGTTCTAGTATATGTAATATTTGAGACATACTTAAATTAAAAATTTATCTGAGATTCAAATTTAACTGAGCATCTTGTTTTTGTTTATTTGTTTTCAGTGGTGGGGATCAAACCCAGGGCCTTGTGCACGCTAAGGTGTTCTACTAAACTGTACTTCCGTCCCTGATTATCTTGTATTCTGTCTAGCAGTCCTACTGCATGTTTACTCAGCTCCTATTTTAATGCTTTGCATGTAGTAATAAGCACAATGAACATGGGGTAGTTAGATTTTTTTGTTGTTTCCACTTGGTGAACTCCGCTTCGTGATTGTTAGGCAGGTGCTCTGCCACTTTAGCCACACCTCCTTCCCTTTTTGCTGTTATTTTTTTGAGGTAGGGTCTTGATTTTTGCTGAGGCTGGTCTGGATCGAAATCTTCACTTAATGTTTCCCAAAGGAGCTCAAATGACTAGCGGCTCACACTACCATCCTCACCTTTTCCTGTTGAGAGGGGGTCTTGCAAACTTTCTGCTCTGGCTAGCCTGGAACCATGATCCTTCTGATTTCAGCCTCCTGCGTAGCTTTATGCCAGTCCCCAGTTTAGAAAGATAAAATCTTTGAGTTCTACAGTCCAAAATAGAAGTGCAATTATTTGTAGCATTTTGAATGATAAAGTTGCTGCATCGATCTTTGTGTGAATCTTGTGCTTTTTAGACACAAGAATTGGTTGCAGGACAGTGCACATTCAGTATAGAAGGAAAAGACATTAGTCTAAAAGTTTTTTAAAAATTCAGGCAAGACGCAGTGGTTGACACCTATAATCCCAGCTACTTAGGAGGCAAAGATGGGGAGGATCACAGTTTGAAGCCAGCCTCTGCAAAAAGACCCTCCCAGCAAAAATGCTGGGCTTGGTAGTGTGCACCTGTCATCCCAGCTACACAGGAGCGATAAGTAGGTGGTCCAGGTTGGCTGGGGCAAAAAATGTGAGATCCTACCTGAAAAATAACTAAAGCAACAAGTGCTGGGGGTGGGTGTCAAGTGGTAGAAAACCTGTCTAGTAAAAGCAAGGCCCTAAATTTAGTACTGCCAAAAAAAATTTGAATTCAGTCTGTTTATCCTGCATACCAGAAGCCAATTTTTGAAAAATTTACAAAATTTAGGAAAGTGGATCAAGTGTATTAAAATTTGTAACAGTTACTAAAAGTGCTTTTACCATCCAGCCTTGTTTTGTGGGATGAGGAGTAGGACAGTATGATGGCTTTCAATGTATTAAAGTTAAAAAAAAACAATTCTGCTCACCTTGTAGGTTTACAAATATATGAATCCCGAAACGGAAATAATTGCTAAGGCAAGAATTTCCTTTTAAGATTGAAGTTTTTAAATGTGAATAATTTGGAAGTCTGGTATGAGGACTGGTAGTATGGCTCAAGTACTAGAGTGCCTGCCTGAAGGCATGGTCCCAGAGTGACACCCAGCTAAGTACAAATGGGTTGAGTTGTGAATTGTATTCCCAAGCTCTGGGGAAACCTACAGTCCAGATGCATAGACTGGTGGAGCAGATCTAAGAAGTTAGATCTGCACAGTTTTAAAATTAGCATAAAAGCAAACCTCACACCAAAAACTTATGAAAAAACAAAAAGCCTAGCATACCACTGTCTGAAAATCTTTTTTATCTCTGCTACCTACTGGTTCAACTTGTAACTTAGATCACTTAATTTATGACAGAGAATAAGCGTTTACTAGTTCATCCCTTGTGGTACTTTGAGCTTTGCTAGGAAGAAACAAGGAAGCAAATGCCATTTTTTTTTTAGAGGGGGTGCATGTTTTCGTTTTGAAGAATGGCCACATTGAGATTATTAACTTCTCTGGGAGACATGCACCTGTACCAGTACAGACCATGGCTAGTTTTTATTTTATGAGGAAGAGGAAAAGTGCCAGTAAGAAAAAGGCACTAAATATTTTGGAATTGTCTTACCTAACCATTTATATCTCACTGGGTTTTTTCAAACTATGTCCAAAAAAATGGAAAAGAAAATGAACTTGCTAATATATTGCTTAACTATCACAGAAATATCCCAGATTGGGAGATGGATTTTCATATTACTTTCTACATCCATCACATGAGAGAGTGAATCTTTGTCCCCTCTGAAAATGACCTGGGACATGTTTGTACAAGTGTCCATGTGAATAATGTTTTGTTGAGCGAGTAAAACTCAGTGAGGGAAGTCTTATAAAAATCCATGCACATAAGAGAAATCCTTTATCCAAGAATCTTTGGAGAAAATCAAGTCATGATGTTTTTGATTGTTTCCTCATCATTAAGGCATCAGGCATGAATGACTTTTTTTACAGGATAATTTGCAAAAAGAACTAAGCATATGTGGGCTATGTTTTAAAATTCAAAGTACATAGCTTTACAGGGTTTTATAGAAAACATCTTAACTCAAATCAAAAACCATTCCTGAGAATATTGACACTGGCATTTTGCCATTAAACACTAAGACCTGGGCTTATTTGCAAATTTGCAAGTAATCTCAACCGTTGATGCTATATAGTGCTTTTGTGTTCACAAAAGTTCTATCACATAGTTCATTTTTCAAAACCCTATAATGTGGATTTTATCATTTCCAATTAGAGAATGAGGTGCAGCAGTGTACAGTGAGATAGTCTTACTGATGAGGAAGATATGAGAAACTGCTCAGTTGGATATAATGGCTGAACATGAAGTTTTCTTTCATTGCAAACTTTAAAATAGGAATGGATTAATGTAGTTTTGGGCATGACCTACAAATAAAATGTTACCACGTGACAAAATTAGAAAGCCCAACCAGAGATATTGAAAAATGTGTTTTAACAGATATATATGATGTAAATGAACTCAGCAACTGAATGCGAGTTGCTCAATTTGAGCAAACACTGATTTAAATCCACAACTGGGTGTTAAAATTTATAATTGGAATTTCAGAGTTTGGAGTTTTGTATCTATATTTTGCTTCCCTATTTCATCCCTCCATTCAATAATAGTGTAGAAATTCCAGGCAATCCTATAAAAAGATGTTAAAACCCCTGTAATTGTTTCAGCTTTCATTAAATTCTAAAGCTTCCCTCTTAATCTCTGTGTGAAGCACTGCATTTTAATGAAGAAAGAGAGAGAAGCCCTTTATACACTGTTCAGAGAGGAGAGACATTTTGCCTGTTTATTGACTTAGAGCAAACAATGCCCGACACACAGTAGACCTTCAATAAAGCTGATAAATGTTGAAAGTAAATGGAATTCCTCACCCTGAGCTTAGGGGTGATCCTGATTTGTCTGGGTATAATGCAGTCCCCCTGTCCGTAAATTTGTGTTTTAAATTATACAGATTAGTAAGTCTTGTTAACAATTTAAATCTGAGTCTGCCATTTTTAGGCAAAATCATCCTAAGTGATTAAAAAATAACAAAACTCTTTTCACTCTGGTTCCTTCCTGGTCCACATGGTAACCTGATTTTCTTCTCTATTCTCTCTGGCAAGCTTCTCCAACTGCTCTGAACACCAGCATAACCTGTGCTATTGTTCTCATTCTCTGCACGGGTCCTTTGCAGTGTTAGAAAGTTCATGGCTCCCACAGCCAGTAACATTCTGATGGTTCTCTACCCTGTATGGCTTGCCAGATTGTTCTTGGGAAGCCTCAGATTTGTGTATCCAATTGTACATCTCCACTCATTGTCGTAAAGGAACCTCGAATTGCTGAGCAGGATGGCTCGCGACTATAATTACAGCTACTCAGGGAGGCGGAGAGTTTGGAAAGATGGACGTTCAAGGCCAGCCGGGGCAAAAAGTTAGCAACACTCTGATCTCAACCAGTAAGCTAGGCACAGTGGCATGTGCCTATCATGTCAGCTATTGGAATCTTTAATAGGAAGATCACAGCTCAGACCTACCCAGGCAAAAAATGCAAGACCCTACCTGAAAAACAACTAAAACAAGAAGGGTCCAGGATATGGCTCCAGTGATAGAACACCAACCTAGCAAGTGGAGGCCCTGAGTTCAAATCCCAGTACTGCCAAAAACAAACAAAATAAACAAAAAACGCCCTTCATATGTTCAAAACCAAGCATATTGTGTCAAAAGCCACACCATCTCCCATATTTTCCTTCTGGGTAGTGACATCACCATCAACCTAGAATCCTAGCTTACCATCACACAGGTTCGGTCAGTACCTCCTGTGGTTCCCACCCCGTGGTCCTCAGGTCCTCATCCAGCTGTAATGGAT